GGGGGTGGAGGGGGCATGTGGTTGGTTTCAAGGCTTGCTCAGCGCTCAAGTGATGTGCGGGGGTACAGACAGCGCAAAAGATCAACATATTGAGATATTGTGAAGGGGAGCGAAGGGAAACCGGACTGCAAGGGCATTGGAAAGTCTGCAGTGAGGGATGTTTTTGGGGGGACTTATGAATGTGGACAGGGTAGGCAAGGAAGCAAAGCACAAGTTTGCTCATTCAAGTCAGGGCATGGGAGGCAGCAGGAAGGTGACATACAACGCATGCACGTGCAAGCTGGCAGGATGCTGGGGGAAATCTCACTCCCAGAATAGCCCATGATCAGCACAATGGGCTTTGCGCCTTGAGCGCTGCCCTTCAAGGGACCAAAGCGATGGTACGCGAGCTGGTCAGCCCCTGCATGGAGCAATTTGGAGGGCAAGGGCGACGGGGGGGCTAGACTTGCATACCATTGCACTTTGTTTGCTGCACTGAAGGACTAATCATCAATGGCATACTGTAAGACTGTCAACGTGCATGTCTGCAACACACCACCCCCTTGTTATGCATTCCAGCCCAACTCTGAGAGCGGATGCCTCAACGAAACACCAGTACCTGCTGTTATCGTGCGCTGTGGCCCCACGAAGGCCGCGTCCCGCTTCCAGTCGGTCCCCGCGCATTGTGGCGGCAGCGCAGACGCCGCAGATATTGAGCCAGCAGCAGGGCCTTGGCCATTCGCGGCTGCAGCTGCGAGCGCTACGAGCATGAGGCACGCTGTGCCCGCCGAGGCGAGAAGCGCCGGCATCAACCGAGGGCATCAAGGTGTGAGAGGGGCAAGGAGGGTCAGAAAACTCTTTCGGATGATTGATGCATGTAACAAGGGGTTCTTCCGGCCGTCCCCTCACCGCATATCAGCGATCTCATGATGATTGCGGCAAGAGCCTCTTGATTGGGGGTGACGTCTCGCTTTAACAAAAAATGGCGTGTTTCTCAGGTACCCTAAGGATGTGAGGCCCCCGCCAGCTGCACAACAGGAGGCGTGCAGCTGGCCGCATGCCGGTGCCTGGGTGACGTAGGCGGCATTATTGCACGATGATGAACTCTGGCTGGTTGCAGCTGGTTACCGGTTATGCTGCTTCAAAGAAAAGACACGACACTACTTTTATGTACATGTCACACGTTGGACCGTCTCAAAGGTCTGTGGTCCCCAATGCACTGTGCGTATCACCAGGTGAGCAACAGCTGTGGTTACAGTCAGCTTCGCTCTGGTGACAGCTGGCCGGCGGTGCAGCCGAGCATCTCATTGATGTTGCAGGACTCATGGTACTCCAATGCAACAAGGTATCATACTCATGCATGTCGTGAGATACGACACACATTCAGGGTGGCAAGCCAGTGAGTAATAGCCCAATACATGGCCGGTCATCCATTGGCATGACCTCCTTGAGTGTGGGACGGGGGACGAGTTGCAGGTTATACGGCTAGCCCGAAGCCAGCCCATGCAGCGAATCACAGCAGCTGGATTGACTACATGCCTGATACAGCAAACCTGCGCCTCCCACCAACGAACCAGCAGCCGCCCCCAGCCCCAACCACCCAGCCACCCGAGAAAATGATGACAAGCGACCGCCACGCGCGAACGATTGCCCATAAACTTTGCGCCATGCGCAGCGGCGTCAGTTGTGCCCTGAAGTCGCTGTGCTGCGGTCTGGAAGTGCTTCCGCAGCGCCCCCCGCTCTGACACCCCTCACATCTTGCTCGCTCTGCTTGACGGGCGCAGTGCTTCAATCACTGCAGACCATGCATGGATCGTTCAAGCCAACATGCATGCTGCCTCATATGCCTGGAGGAACTCGTCCGGTTAAACGGCATACCGTACTCCCCTAGTCCGGCTGCCACAAAGCTTGCGCCTGCGCTTGCGGTGCCCTCGCCATCCGGGATTGCGAGTGTTCCAGCAGCTGCTGAGCTCACAGGCAGCCCCTTGCAGCGAGTGTTAGCGATGGCGCCTGCGAGTGATGCCTGCCAGGACAGTTGCCTGCCGTCGCCGTGTTGGCGTCACCACAGGCAGGGGCAAGAGTGGCGCACCGGCTGACAATTGTGTGCGTCAGTGCGTGAGCATTGCGCGGGAGCCCTGCAGGCAGGTGGCCTGCAGTGTTCGAACGCGCCCTTATTGAGGACATGGCGAACATCAGAACAGAAAGTAATCGTCCATAACGATCAGCCTTCACCAACACCAACAACCTTCGGAAAACGAATCCGCCCGTAGCCACCATGCCCGTCTCCAAACACGCCAGCGCCACCACGAGGCGCCACAAGAACGCCTCAAAGATCTACCAGAAGCAGGTAAGGCGGTCGGACGCCTGCCAGGGCGCCTTGAGCGCCGCGGCTGCTCCAGCGGACTGCCCCCCCCCCCTGCGCCCTCCATCCGCACGCCACCTTCCGGCAGCTCTCAACTCACGACCCCCCTTGCCGCCCACCACCACCCCGCCCTAAACACCCTTCCAGCATGATTACGGACAGAGCGCCCGCCACAGAGCGGCAGCGGACGTCGGCGCGGCCGCGACCGCGGACAGGCGCCGCGCAGACGCCGTTGCGCGCGCTGCCGCGCCGGCGTCTGCAGAGGAGGCGGAGGTGCTGGTGGTCGCCGGCGGCGTGCTGGCCGCACTGTTCGCGCCCTCCACTCGAGGCCCCGACAGCGGCGGCGGCGCCCACAGGCCCCCGACGGGCGCTCAGCGGCGCGCTCTCAGGCGCCGCGCGCAGGCCGGCGCGTGCGGCCCCGCCCCGGCTGCCGTGTCCGCTCGCGCCACCCCCGCCCCAGCTCCCACCAAAGGCCTCATCGGCAGCCCGTCGGTCGCCACCAAGGCCAGGGCCCTGTCGCGCTCCTCCTCTGGCCACGACGTCAGCGCGCACCGCGGCGCAGAGCAGGGGCTGCAGGGCAGCGCCACAGCCGCGCTGCCACCCACTGCCCTGACCCTGCGCGCGTTCCGCCGCCGCAGCAGCGGCGGCAGCCGCCGCTCAGGCGGCCTGTCCCTTCCTTCCTCCGCCGGCTCCAGCTTTGCCCTGGGCCGCAGCTCCTCCTTCGACTGCGCCCTGCTGTGGCCCATCAAAGGAAGCGGCGGCGGCAACGCCGCCGCCGACAGCAGCGACGGCAGCACGGGCGGCAGCGGCTCCTTCACCGCCGCGAGCGCCGGCAGTGCCGCCGCCAGGACTCCCTCTTTCAGCCGCACCCTCAGCGGCAGCAGCACCACCACCACCAGCGCCACCACCACCACTGACCGCTGTGCGCGCCTTGGCGGCTCCTTCACCCTCGTCGGCGGGGGCAGCCTGGGCCGCAGCCTCAGCGGCCTGCGGCGCCCCAGCACGGCGTCGCTGTACCGCAGCGGCTCGATGGCGCTGGGCAGCGGCGAGCAGCAGGCGCCAGCTGTGCCGGCCCCCAGCCCTCCTGCCGCGTGCGTGGTTGAGCCCGCGGCTGCCACGATTGCTGACAGCGCGGCCGCCGCCCCGGGCCGCGGGCGTACCGACGGCGCCCTGCTCTCGCCGGAGGCCCCACAACCCGCCAGCGACGGCGGCGACGACTGCCCGGCGGCGTCCCGCAGCGATGGCGCCGACGTGACAGATGCCAGCAGCGGCCCCTGCGGCGCCGAGGGCCGCGCCGCCTGGCCGCCGACCGGCTTCCTGGGAAAGGCCGCGTACTCGGGCGGCATCGTGCTGAGCACCGGCGTGGTGATCAGCACCCTTGCGGGGGTCATCCTGGGCGGCGCTGCAGGGGTCATCGCCGTGGGCGGCTGCCGCGCCACCGCCGGCTGGGTGCGTGCGGCATGGCTGCGCGCAGAGTCGGGGTTTTACGGCCCCAAGTACAGGGAGATGCAGGCCGTCCTGCGGGAGGCAGAGGCGATGGACAGGCAGGAGCGCCAGCTGCTGCACGGCTGCATGTAAAAATGATGTGGAGCGGCTGTGGGGTTGGATTGCTTGCCCATCTCGAGTTGTTTATTTGTTGGCCCCAAGTGTCTTGCATTGGTTTCAAAGCTGCAAGGACCTGACCCTGCCGCTGCCCGCTGGGATGCATGTATAGATGCTGTGCCCCCGTTCGTGGAGATCGAGTGTGGCGGGCGCACGGCGGGCATCGGCCTGTGCGCGAGGCCGGATGGCGGGGGCGTCAAAGCTCTGGGCAGGTTTTTAAATCACTTGACCTTGTGTTTCCGGGCCAGCGCAAGCCATTCCCTTGGCGCGGCTGGCTAGCTGCTGGTCGCCGTGCCTCCGGAACGGTGTTGCGCAGGCAACTATCACTGATGTGGCGCATGTGCCGTTTGCAGCTGCCACACTGTCGCGCATGTGTTCTAGATGGTGCCGAGGGACATTTTTTAGCGTGCACATGCTTTCCTTGCTTTCCGCATGTGCTGTCGAGGCGGCCAAACCTTTGTAGGGGTGGGGTGAGGGGTGGGGGGTGCTGCGTTGGTGGGACCACGGTGGGCCCCACCCCATGCACAGCAACGTAGACAAGCAGGCAGATGTGGCATGCCGACGGTTTCACAACAGGTGTATATGGCTTGTGGTCTGGTCCCTCCCTTAGCACAGAAAGCACCATTCATTGTGTCAAAATACTTGCCTGACCAATTCGGCTGAACGTGGGCCGTGGCTAGGTTATGGCTGTGGACGCAGGGCCCATTCAGACACTGGCTGGCAGCATTCGCACTCACGTTGCGGTGCCCGCTCGGTTTAGCCAGGGGTATTACGCGCGGCCGCAGCCTGGAATACGTGAAACTCTTCAACGATATGACCTGCAGTGGTTGTGCTCCTCCAAGCTCCAGCGGCCATCACGGCCCTGGTCACCTGCAGGCTGCACACTGCTTCTGCTCCACTGGAGCTGCTTGACCGCAGCTCGCACCAGAGTACGCGCTTGTCCCACATGTTCATGCGTAAGCTTTTCCAATTACCAATTATGAAACAAGATCAATGCACTGAGTTTGCACAAGCAAGGCACCCCTCGCAAATTGGAGCTCATGCTGCCCGCTGCGGTCAACACATTGGACCCCATAGATGCCAGCCCTTGAGCGTTGCCCGTATGCCTGCCACAATGATCCGCTTGAAGCTGTGCAGGGACTACATGCTTACCGATGTGATTGAAATGTTGAAGTCATACAGTAGGTTGCCGCTCGGGCCGCCTGCCCAGCACCCGATCGACCTTTGCATCTTGCTGATACAACACGTAAGGGCTGCGCACAGTTCAATCTGGAATGTTTTCCAGCACTGTCTGTTCGTTGCGACAATAGCAGCGGTCGGCACATATCACCTGCGCGCTCAACACCTGGCTCAGCGAATGCCAAGTGCCGGCACGCGCATCCTTGAGATATAGTAAAAGCATCGCTGAAACCGCTACAGCATAGCGGAGACACCATACATCGGTACTCCGGGCACGGGCGCACAACCGCAGTGAAGCGGCGACGCAGCCCGCCAGCTCGAGTGCAGCGTCGACATCAACTCCGCGCTGCCCACGAAACGGCATTCGCCATGGGCACGCACACAGCCGTCCAGGAGGACCTGGAGGTGCCCACTGTGGAGGACTGGAGCGAGAAGGACTGCAAGGTTGTTGTGCGCACCACACCAGGCAGCAATCTGCTGGCTGACCTGGTGCTGCGTGCCAAGGTGGGCAAGGGGGGTTGGGGGTTTTGCGGCACCCTCACAGCACCAGCCTGCTGCACTTCATGCCGGTCCTGGTTCCAGAATATATATGCCCAGCAGAGGACTTGTCGCTGGGTGCGTTTCCAGTGCATGCGGTGCAGCGCGAGTCGGTGCCGCATGGAGCTCGCGGTCCCAGAAAGCTGACGGGCTCGCTGCGCACAGGTGGATGCCTCGCCTGACGAGGTGTACGCCGTGCTGACAAACCCAGGTGAGGGGCCGCCGGCGTTCAGTCGTTGCAGCGCCATGCGCCACAGCCCCGAGCAGCTGCCTCCTGCATGCCAACCGCGGGCGTCATCATGACTGCGCGGCGCGGGGCTCAGGGCCGTCGCCTAGCATCCCTTGCAGCGCATGAACGCATGCATGCATACATTACATGCATGCGTGGAACAAACAGTCTTGCTGCGCCCCTGCTTGGGGCAGTTCGGTCGTAGGAGCGAGCGCACAGCTGCACGAGACGTGTTGCATGCGTCGTCTGAGTCCTGGTCGCCATCACCCTTCCACCCTTGAAGCAGTCCGCACCCCGCTTTTCACGACGTGTGCCCCTTTTCAGCCCCCGACCACCACACGCTCATCGCTATGCCAACACACCGCAGATTCACACCTGATCTTCCGCGGCATCAAGGCCACCTTGGAGCGGCGCACCCTGGAGGACAGCGGCAAGGGGCGGCGCAAGCTGTTTGTGCACCACCAGGCTGCCACGCGGTTCCTGTGGCTGCAGGTCACGTTTTCGACGCAACTGCTAGTGGAGGAGGACGACAGGGCGGTGAGCGCATGCGGCTGGGGGTGCAGAGATGCTGTTTCACCCCAGCTGACGCACGTGGCAAGGGCGCCCGCAAATGCATGCACCGTACAGTGTTCACAGCAAGTCTAGTGGCAGCTGGCTGCATTGCTGTGCGCTTCACGCATCGACCCTTTACGGCCGGCTCGACACGCCGTCATCCAGGCTGCTCACATCAATGCACCCGGTGCTACATGTTGCGTCCTCCTGTGCCCCGCCACCCCAGCGCACCATCTGCTTCCGCAATGCGAAGGACGGCGGCTTCATGCGCACCTTCACCGGGCGGTGGGAGGTGTCGCCCTTCTGCCAGGTCGGTGCAGGACGCGAGTGCAGGAATCACGCGCATGCCAAAGGTGCTCCGACAGACCTGGTCGACTGGGCGCCGCGGCGCCTAGGAGGCGTGCAGCACCAGCTTGACAATCACACCAACGACCGCTTGTTGCTGGGCACATTGCTTGGCCGACGGGCATTGCACCACACCAGCTTGCGGCCACTTGATGCCGGCTGTGGCTGCTGGGTCGCGCCGCCCCCATATTTCCCTCTTGTTTGCCCTCCCCCCCTGCAGGACACGCTCAACCGCATCTACTCCCCCCACGACACACAGCGGCACCGAGGAGTGCACCTAGGCTGGCTCAACCCCGCGAGGGCCCTTGGCGCTATGCAGCACCGTGAGTTTTCCTTAGTATGGCCCAAAACTCCGGGTTAAGCGGTCAGATTTCTTTCCAGAATGGCTTAGGAGCTGCGAGCGTATCCTGCCCTGCTGCGCCAGCAACAAACTCGACGGTGTCACATGGCCCCGGCACCAACGATATGCGAATCGCGACCATCACCGCAACCGCACCCGACCCACAGGAGAGTCAGATGCGGCCGCGCGCGAGTGCTCGCTGGTGACGCTGGAGCAGGCACTGGCGCCGCGCCTCATGCCCCCAGGGCCGCTGATGCGCATGGTGCGGGGGCTGTGCGCGCGGACCGTCAGCAACATGATGGCGGACCTGCAAAAGGAGATCGAACGGCGGCGCGAGGGTGAGGGGCTGGCGGCGATTGGTGTAGGTCAAGAGGTGGTCATTGTGCAAGGGTGGGGGGACGGCTTGGCGGATGGCGGGGCTAGCTTCCTGCTCCATGTTGTGTATGCTTGTGGTGGCGCTGCGGCGACCTTTTTTGTGGGTTGCTGCAGAGGAGTGACGCTGTGTGGTGACTTTGTGTCGTGCTTTTGGGAGTTGGCAAGCTTGTCGACGCTTGGACGCCACACACCATGTCCAGGGCCAGTGCTGAGTTCAATCGCCCCGCACGGCTTTTCGCAGGCGAGTCCGCCTCAGGGTCCAAGGGCGTCAGCGGCTCAAACCACCTTCACGGCAAGGCGGCGACGCATGCAGCCTGTATGAGCTTGAGTGCTGGCGACCTTTTTGCCAACTCAGCACCCCTTCACATCACAATCGAGCTGTGAAGCTGGTGCTGCACCCCCCTTACAATCCGCAATACTCGGAGGGTTTTTTGTTGACCTACAATCGCTGTTGTGGCACCCCCCTGCGGCACGTTGCACGTCTTCATGCCCTGGTGAGTAAGTAGGCTTCCGCTGAGCGCTCTTCGTGGGCAGATGCCTTCATTGATTTGTGTATGCCGGCGTGTGGCTTGCCGCTGCAGGTCTCCAGCAAGACGTGCCCTGCCTGGCCTTCTTGTTTACGTATCTTGGCATGCAGGCTGCACAGCCATTTGTTACTCCGATTTGCTGGTCGTATCATCAAGCTGATGAACGGTTTGAATTACTGTTGCATTTATAACCAGCAACTCTGTTTAGCCACGGCGGTTTTCTGAGCGAGCACATTCCTTCTGTTGACCGTTTCCAAGCCAACGCCATCTTGACGGTTGTGATGTAATTGCCCACCATAATGTCATTGTTTTCAACCATGACACGTCTTGCTTTCGCCGCGCTGCCTGATCTTGGTGATTTCAGATGGCGCTTGCAGCAGCCTCTACAGGGACTACAGTGAGTGTGCTTGCTGCAGCAAGCGTGGGCAGGCGCCGTACACAGCAAACGCAACAGTCTGGCAGGGGGTCAACCAGAGTCGGCAGGGGGTCAACCAGAGTCGCTCAAGAGCTTGGCAAGCAAATTGCTGCTGGCACCATTCACGACTGACAACTTGTGTAGCGCAGAGCTGCCAATGTGGTAGGTGCAATTAAGCGCTGAGGTTGATTCTGCACCCCGCTAGGATTATGTGATGGAATCGCAATTGCTGCGGCCCGCAGCATCCTGGACCCTGTTGCTGCTCTGCCAAGACTGATGCTACCGTGATCCTACCACCACCGTGAGCTGTCCAGCTGCCTCATCATCATGACAAACCACCACCACCACCACCACCACCACCACCACCACCACCACCACCAACAACAACAACAACAACAACACCAACAACAACAACACCAACAACAACACCACCAACAACAACACCAACAACAACAACACCAACACCACCACCACCACCACCAACAACAACAACAACAACAACAACAACAACAACAACAACTGAACAATACAATGCAACACAATTTGCACAGGTGACTAACGAGAAACAAGAAAACAATACTCATCTCTCAAAAACAACCATTCTATATGAACAAGCACAACACACCAAAGAACAAAAAGCCAAAGAAAGGTATACACGAGATGCACAGTCGGTCAACAAAGCAAGCAAGGCAAAGAACATACACCCAATCAAAGGAAGCGTGCTGGTCCAAGACCTTGCTCGGCCATCTCCAAGGTGCAGGCGGCAGCAGAACGCGTCCGTACGCGTACCTTAACATACGCAACGTTGCGTTCCGAGTGCGGGCGGCAGTTCCGCCCGCTGCCAGTGCACCAAATGCGCAGTGGCAAGGGCTACATCCATGTTCACGATGTATTGCCCGCTTGTCACCATCCCTGCGCTGCAAACAGCAACGGCTGGGTCTGCAAGGTGTTGGTGAGACAGCAGGGCTGCATGCGTCCGTTTCTCACAGAGTTGGCTCTGGCGCGTCCTTGGGGACGTCCAAGCTGGGAGGCCCCGCTCTTTCTTGGTCTGCACGCCAGTGCGACGCGGCTTCACCACGAAACGGTCGCTCAGTGACGGCGCCGCCAGGTGGCAGGATAAAAACCTACAGGCGTGTGGCCAAGCAACAACAAAGGATTAGGATTAGCATTGTTACACAAAGG